CTGACCTCTGGCTCTTATAATCTTTCTGTCCCTCTTCATGGTGGTCCTTGAGCCTTGGGGAGGGAATATAATATAGATTTCCCATTTGAGGCTGAACACAGTCACTTGTTCTCTACACTTCAGTCAGTTGTGAATTTGTGTGTTAACCACCATTCACTGTAAAAAGAAACTTCTCTGATGAGGTCTTAGAGCTGCACTAATGTATGGGTACAAAGGTTTGAATTTAGAGGGCTTTATATGTCTTAAAATGTGTTATTTCTTGTGGATAATTTTTCTTGTAGTGTTAAGAATTAAACCCAAGCCCAATTCATGCTCAGCAAGTATTGTATCATTGACCTATACCCTTAGCCCTGCATACAAATTTTAGTTGTAATTATTGCATACAAATTATGTCAACTTGTCTATCATTATGAAATGTCCCCCTTTTCTTCAGCAGTAACTTATATATGACCTACTTCGGTGCTGTTATAGCTATGCTAGCTTTGGCAGTTTATATGATATCATTTTTTTTGCTATCTAATTTTCATTTTTTGATGTCCTTATATTTTAAATGTCTTTTAGGATACGATTGCTGCTTTCTAAGTACATTCTTCTTATTTTTGCTGGAATTTTTAGATTTTATATTGATAAAATTTACAAACATTGGTAGAATTCACATACCATAAAATTTATACCTTGGAAGAATACTTAGATTTTTTTTTAACTTTAAAAAAATTTATTGAGAATTTCCTACATGCATATAAGGTGTTTTGATCAAATCCATGCCCATTCCCTCCCCTTCAACTCCTCCCATAGCTCCCCATCACTTTTTACTGACAGCTTTGTGTACTCTTTTTTTTTTTTTTTTTTTAAATGGGGCTTTTTGCTACTCTAACATTGCCACCCTCTGAAGAGGTAACCCTAAAATCTTATAAGGATTAGATAAGAGCTCCCAAATACTTTTGACATTTTTGGCCTTTAGAACAGAGTATGTTGCTAAGAGGCCCAAGGACATTTTGACTTTTAGCCAAGAGACTGGCTGTTTTTCTTTGGGGTCTTTTTACCCTAACTGCCTAGCCAGTTCCTACTGCCTATTCTTATCACACCATCCTCTGAAGAGGTTACCCAAATTGCCATTAGGGAATCGGGATGCAGACCGGCTCTGGCTTCTTCCATGCTGAACAAGGATGCAGGATGTACTTAGATTTTTTTTTTAAAGTATCCATAAAACTCTGTAAGAACCGCTATTACAAATTCAAGAACACTTCAGAAATAAATTCCTTACTTGTTAGTAGTAACTCTCCCCAGCCTCTGAAAAGAGCTAATATATTTCCTGGGTCTATGGATATTGTATATATTATAGAATTATACTGGATGTGGCCCTTTGCGTGTAGTTTCTTTCTGCTTTCATTACTTTTCTTGTTGCTGCAACAGAATACCTGAGAAAAGCATCTTAAGGAAGGGTTTGTTTGGGCTCATGGCTGAAAGGTATAGTCCATGGGACAGACAAGCCCCAGCAGCACCTTAAGTCAGGAGGTCGAGAGTGATGAGTGCTGGTGCTCAGCTTGGTGTCTCCTTTTAATTCAGTAAGGGACTTCAGCCTATGGAATGGTATTGCATATGTTAAGGTTAACCCATCTAGAAACTTCCTCATAGATATGCCCAGAGGTTTGTGTCGTAGGTTATTCTAGAACCTGTCATACTGACAATCAAAATTAACCATTGCATTTTCATTTAGTATAATTGTATCTTCTGTGTTTATTTTGAGTCTCATGTAATATTACTACTCTTACTATTGCTACTGCTGTTATTATGCCTGCTCCTAGGCTTGGAGTTTTGAGGCAGTCTCACTTTGGAGTTCTGGCTGACTCCAAAGCCAACGAAGAGCTCAGGCTGACCTTGACTTCCAAATTCTGGGATTATAGATGTGTACTCCACACCCGTCCTGTGTCAGTCTTTTATGTTTTCAGATGTTTTAGTAGTTCTGGAGTCAGGGTCCTTGACTTCCTGTTGGTAAATTCTTTTAGCTTTTGTGTCAAGTTAGCTTATTTTACCTACTTTTTAAGATCAGTATTTTTGAAAGGTTGATTCTAGATTGGCAGTTTTTCCCTTTACTACACTAGGATTCATGCTCTTACTTCTTCTCTTTACCTTGTTATTTTTCATTCTTTGAAGTCAATTTTTCCTTTACACTGACTTTTAAGAATTTATTGTAGGGTTTGATTTTTAGTAGTTCAGCTACACTAGGCCTGGTTTGTTTTTCAAAAATGCTTCTTGAGATTTTTCAAGTAAGTTAAGAACTTACTTGACTGACTTTTGTCAGTTTTAAAAGTGTTTCAGGCATCATCATCATTGTTATTACTACTATTATTATTTTGAGACAGGATCTCCCTATAGCCCCAGCTGGTCTGGAACTCACTATATAGACCAGACTGGCCTTGATCTCACAGAGATCCCCCTGCCTACCAAGTGCTGAGGCAGTATTTTTTAAATACTGATTTTGTTCCTTTCTTTTTTACATCATGTTATTTCTAAGTTATCAATTGAGAAATATGAGACATTTTATATTATTTTACATTGAGTGTATTTTTCTCTTTTTTGTGTGATTGTCTTTCAGATAACTATTTCTCTGCTTAGCCTTGTTCATTGTTGAATTAAACACATCTTAGTGAGTTCTTTTTTGGAAATTCCAAACTACTGCTGTTTTTTTTTACTCTTACGTGTGTGTGTGTATGTGTGTGTGTGTATGCATGCGCGTGCATGTGGAGGTTAGAGAACAGCTTTGAGTCACTTCTTTCTTGTCAGGGTTCTGGGTATGAGCTTGGCAGCAAGCACCTTTACCCACTGAACCATCTCTCCAGTCTACATCTAATGAATTTTTAATTTCATATGTATTTCTCAGTCTTAGAGTGAGCATTTGTGTCTCATAGATTCCAATTCCCTGTTGAAATTCTTTACTTTTATCTCTTTTTCTTTCGTTTCATTGAGCATATTAATCATATAAATACTTTAAGCAGCTTAATAAAAAATTAACCGAATTCTTCTTCCCAGCTGTGTCTCTCTCTTCTCCCCATCTTGGCCTCAGGCAAGTAGCTGCCCGTATGTGATATACTTCATCTTGATGAAGCCCCCATTTCCCTAGAGTTTAACCTCACTTGCCTGCACCGAGTCCCATTATCTGATGCAGTCTAGAAAAGTTATGGTTTTGTAGATTATCTATCTTGTTTTTCTTTAAACTTTAAAAAGTAATTTTAATTACATTTATTGAGTCATTAGGTGTGTGTACATGTGTTGGTGCGTGTATGCCCTGGCACATATGTGGAACTTGTCTCCTTCTACCATGTGGGCCCTGGGGGTTGAACCCATGTCGTCGGGCTAGTGCCTTTATCTACTGAGCTACCTTGCTGGCCCTTTATCTGCCTTTTCTTGTTGGTCTAGGAGTGATGCTGTTTACAGCTTCATCTATTGGAATCAAAATCCTTAAATGGACCATAATACCCCTTTCTGATAATCAAAAATCTGAATTAGATGGGAGTTTGACTTTAAAAATTCTTTTCCTTTCCTTTTTCTGGGGTGTGTTTGAAAGTTTGCCTTCTGCTGTTTATTGAATAATTGGATACCAGGTAATGCAGATGGGAATTTTGCAAAGAAAAATTTTGCCCCTTTTTCCCCAAAGAGAGTAGTATTTCCCCATCCCCTCTGACCCTGTGCAAGCTTTGTAATGTTGTACCTTTGAGTTCTGAGGCATGGCTTTCCTGGCCGCTAAGTTGAGCTGAGGATGCTGAGCAGTGCTGCTGTCCCTCTGTCTCATCAGCACTGCTGGGTTCCTGAATTACCTATTAAGTTGATTTTAGTTTTTCCTTTCTTTACTTTTTATGGTTTTATTTGCATCTTTAAATACATAACTTGTAAGTTAATGATTTGAAGGGAATTTCCACATAGACTTTTGGCTTCTTTCTGTACTGGTCTTATTTAGGGGTACAGATTGCATTCCCTAAAGCCCATCATCTTGGGTAAATCCAGCCTGTATCCTGTATCTCTCAGCCACCCTGGATTGTAATATTATGCTTGGGGCATATTTCCTATCATTGGTTTGGGAAACTCTCTTGTGCCAGAAGAATGATGAAATGCAAAATTCATTTCATTGAGCTTTTCCTCCTCTACAAATTTGTAGTCTTAGAAATCCCATCTGTTCCTGCAGACAGGAACTTTTGTGTGTTTTGTGTAGCATTCATGATTGTTCTCATTGAGAGTGCTAGCTGGCTGAATTCATCAAACTCCATAAATTGGAACCAGAAATGCCTATTTTTTCCTTCATTTTGAACTTTCTTTTAAGTGTGTGTGTGTGTGTGTGTGTGTGCGCGCGTGCGTGTGCGCGCATGCGCGTTTACGTTATGTGTGTGCGCATGCACGTGGAAGCCTGAAGTCAGTGCTGTGTCTTCCTCAATTGCTCTCTACCCTTTTTTTTTCTGCTTGAGAAGCTCTCTCACTGAACCTCCACTGATGAAGCTAGACTGGCTGGCTAGCAAGCTCTAGGAATCTACCTGTCTCTGACTCCCCAGTGCTGGTGCTATAGGTGTGTTCCTCCACACCTTGGTATTTACTTAGTGGTGGGGATTTAAACTCGGGTTCTCATGTTTGTGTAGCAAGTACTTAAGTAACTGAGCTATCTCCCCAGACCCATTCTGACATTTTGCTACTGCTAAGTACAGTTCTATATATATTGTTTCAAAGTAAATAATTTTTGTAACAGATCATTTCAAAGTTCACATTATGCTGAATAGATATAGTCAGGCCTTGTGTAATAATTACTATAGTCATCTTCAGGAGTAAAAAGTAGGTGTTTGATACATCAGGGTAGATCTCTGGAATGTGGAAATGAAGGATCAGTGCTAGCTACTCAAGTTCTTTTAATTAAACTTAGAATTAGACATTTTTTTCCTGCTTTTTGAATTGTGTTCATGAAACAATTTCACAGAGATGGAAATTCTTATAAAAATTTCTCATATTTCAATCTCTAGGAAGATGAAGTCTTCAATACACTCTGAAGAGGATGATTTTGTTCCAGAACTACATAGAAATGTTCACCCTCGAGAGCGGCCTGATTGGGAAGAAACACTTAACGCAATGGTAAATCAGTTTTATACATATATATGTAAGTAGTTACATAAGTAAAAAGAACTGAAGAAGAATTATTCACAGAAAATAGCATAGTGTTTTTGTTGGTATGTATATTTATTGAACATCTATTTTCAGGCACTGTTTTAGACTCTGGGCAGAGTGGTGGTTACAGAGCAGTACGATATAGTGTGAAACAGCAGATCATGTGCTTCTTGTGATCCACTGATGAATGAGGTTGGAAACCATTGAGGATTTTTGACTGAGGAGGACAGGATCTGGCTTGAAATTTTAAAGGAAGTCCAGATTATTATTAAGCAGTATGAGGCAAAAGAGGAAATAAGGAGCCCAGTTAGAAGGGCATTGTAATGTGCAAATAGGTGATCATGTGGCCCGGGATGGTAGCTGCTATGGTGCAGTTTGGTTTGAGTCTGGATCTGGTTTTACATGTTAAGCCAGTCGTTTTTACTGATGAATTTTTGTGAGCCAAGACTGTGAGACAAGGTGAGGTCAAGGATGACCTCAAGCTTTTGACCTGATCGACCTGGGAAGGCAGTTTTGGTTGAGGAATAGGTATGTAAATCCACAGTATAGTTCAACAAACTGCATTTCAACTACTCATTAATTTATTAAACATTTTTTGTAGTTTGGGTGTATCAGTAAAAATAATGAAATTTTTTAAATTAAAAAATTTTATTGAGTTTTTGCACATTTCATACCACAGTTCTTAATCAAATTTACACCCCCTCCCCCATCCATATCTCCCTCTCATTCCCCCACCAGACCTTATGTATTCTGCCATACATAGTAAGTCCTATCCAGTCAAGCATTTGTCCTTCAGTGCATATTCATCCACTGGTGTCTAGTCAGCCTAAGAAATCTCTTACTCACCTAGTAGTAATCAGTCTACTACAGTTCCCAGAATAGGGCCAGCCTGCCACCCATTTCCCTTGCTCCACTCTGGGCCCTTGTCTGATTGAGTTGACATGGATCCTGTTCTTGATGCCACCATTGCCACAAGTTCACATGTGCAAGCTTCCAGTGTCCTGAAAATCTTTGTTTCCCTATGTTCACGAACAAGCCCTGGCTCTTACATTCTTTCCGCCCCCTCTTTCTTAATGGTCTCTGAGCTGGGGGGTGGGTAAGGTTTAATATAGGGGTCCTGTCCAGGGACACACACACTTTGCAGTCTCTTATTCTTTAAAACTTGGCCAGTTGTGGCTTTCTATGTGCATCTCACTCTGTTGTATAAGGAATCTTCACTGGTGAGAGTTGAGTGATGCACTAGATTTCTTTCTACCTCACCCCATTCTGCTATGTTCCATGAGCCTTAGGGGTAGAGGTTCCACTGTAGATACGTCCCCTAGAACTGAGCACCTCTCAGACATTTATTCTCTGTATGTGACCAGTTGTGGGATTCTGAAGTAGCCTCTATCTATGACAAAAAAGAAGCTTTTTTGATGAGTGGTGTACAGTGTGCTTGTCTGTAAAAACAAGAATCCCTATTTATCATATAGTAAGAAATTTCATTTGTCTAGCGATACATAGAGATAGGGTTTTCTCTAGGATCTATGACCTCTCCAGCCATGTATATTTGGCTGTGTTTACAGTGCTACCAATGAGTTCACTCCAATTGAGAGGGCTTTAAGTCCAATTAGCTAGCTGTTGATTATCCTCTAGATAAATAGTGGCACTACTGTACCAGTAGAGGTAGTTTGCTGTGCTGGTCATTGATATTATTAGGCTTTAAGGCTGGGTTGGACCATTCATTGATTTTCTGTTTTAGCAGCTTGCATAGTATCCTCTAGAACTATGAGAGGTAAACTTCAGGAATAAGGCTTCTAGGTTAGTTCCTCTTCCATTGCTGTAAGTCCTGTATCAGAAGTATGTCCTGTCTTCAGCAGGAGGGTCTTATCTTCCAGTTCTGGGAGATAACCAAGAGCTATGGCAGTAGCCTGTGTTATTTTGGGAGTCTTCTGGACTACTCTGACCAACCACTCGAAGGGAGGTCTCTCTTGTCTGGCACTGTGTTCCTTGCCATACAGCCCTAAGGTATACATATGTATTAATGTTCAGATACTGTATGTGCATTTCTTGGGGTTTCAGAGGCAACATATTTCTCTCTGACTTCCCTAACCCCTCAAGATTCATTCATTTCTACTCTTCTCCCCCATCTGACCTCCTACCTCCCTTCCTAGTCCAACCCCCACCCATTATCCCACCCTCCCCCCAATAGGTATGAAAATCCACAGTGTAGTTTTCAACAAAGTATGTTGCAACTACTCATTTAATTTTCTAGAAGGTTTTTGTAGCTTGGGTCTATCAGTAAAAATAATGAAATTATTTTTATGAGCTTTAATATCATTTAGTTGTAGTTCAGAGTTACTTTCCCTGTCATAAAAATGTCATAAATGGTCATCTGTCAATGCTGATCTTTGAAAATTTATATTATTTCATTTTGTAAAGGATCTTTTCATTCTAATAGGTTTTATAAATACTGATACAGATCATAAGCATCTTTTTTTTTTTTCCTTTTTAAATGAGGTTTTAAATGTAGAGCTTTATGTATGCCAAGGCAAATGCTCTAACACTGAGCCGTATCCCTAGCCTCAAGCATCTGATCTTACTTGAGTAAATTCACCACTAGCAATTGTAGAGCTATTAGATTTTCCTATTTCTATTTGCTTTGTAGCATCTCATTGTGTTGCAGATTAATTACTTCCCATTGAAGCTTAGTTGAAATTTGTAATATGGAAATTTACTTTGCACTTGCACTGTGGTTGAACAATACTACTTGGGCTTATAGTTTGAGCTTGAAAATTATTTTTATTGTTAGTTTTCATGGGAAAGAAAATATCCCTTAAGATTTTTATTTTGAACTCAAAAAAATTTATTGAGAATTTCATACATGCATAAAAGGTGTTTTGATCAAATCCACACCCACTCCCTCCCCTCCAGCTCCTCCCATATCTCCCCATCACTTTTTC